TCGGGGCATGGGCGCAGATGAGCGAGATGTTGAAGAATCTAGCTTTGATGCGGATTGTGGCTAGACGCTCGTCCACCGGGGTGAACGACACTACTCGGCGACGGAGTCTCTCCCACCACAAATCCAACTCCGAATTTGCGCTCCTTTACATGGCAGCTGTAGTAGACGTCGCAAGGCCCCAGACATTGTTTGCCTTGCCCCGTCCAACGCATTTCTTGGATGGCGGTGATGTCAGATTTGTCCTTACGAGGACATCAACCAGCCGGGCAGAGGCACCTTCCCGATTAACGGTCCGGACATTCCAGGATCATGCCCTCAAATCGAAGGTCAGGCTACCGCTGGGAATCCACATCGATGGTACACCAATTCCGACGGTGAATAACCCCAAAATACTCGGAGTAACATTCGACAGCCTTCTCTCCTTCTCTGCACACGTAACCGCTATTGTCAATAAATTACAGAGCCGCAACAAGGTCCTCAAGTCGCTAGCCGGCAGTACTTGGGGCAAAGACAAAGGAACGTTGCTGGCAACATAATAGGCCAGCCGGTTTTAAACTACACAGCACCAGTGTGGTCGCCGGGGACTATTAGGACGCAGTGGATGAAGCTACAGACGGCACAAAACACCGCACTTAGGACAGCGACTGGTCGCCTCCTGATATCGCCAGAATACCACCTACATGACGAGGCGAAAATGCTCCCGGTCAAGGAGCATAACATAATGCTCTGCAAGCAGTTCCTGGTTGGGAGCCACAGATGTGGCCACCCAAACAGACAGCTGCTTGCAGAGGAGCCCTCGCCTAGGCACGTCAGGAGGCATCTCTACGAACTGACGGACGAGGTCCAGAGGTTCATTAAGCAGCCTCTGGACCCGTCAGCAAACCGACAGGCCCTGAGCGACATTCACAGGGATTCAGTCTCGAGTTATGTAGACTCCAGACCTGTGAATGCCGTTCTAGGCACACAACCACCGGACATTGACGAGACGGAGCTTCATCTGCCTCGGGAGACAAGAACCACAATACCCCAAATTCGCTCTGGCTACTGCAGAAGGTTAAACTCATACCTGAGCAGACTAAATGCGGATGTGCCAAATGAGTATCCGGCATGCGGAGAGACCCCTCACGACCCGAAACATCTCTTCGCATGCCCGGAAAACCCGACAACCCTAACGGCTCTGTCCCTGTTGACCGACCCAGTGGAGGTTGCACGCTTCTTAGGGCTGCCGTTAGTGGGACTTGACAACGACCGAGATATCAACCGATCTGGGTGGGGTTGTTGGAGCCGCTACAACAACAACAACAACAACGAAGATCGTGGTGCGAGTTAAAATCGCCGTCTACCATACGGTTTTCACCTCTGAGGGGCGAACCTATTTCAGGGTGGCATTCTGCCGGGCAGCTAGTGACAGGGGTATATACACGTTAAATATTTCGAGCTGACATTCTACGATGGTATCCCTGCGGTTGATGTCTGCTTCGACAAGATGATCCTGCACGGCGTGATGAACGCTAGGCCACCACCTTTATCTTGCTCGCGTTCTCGACGGTGCACGTTGTATCCGGTGCAATTCAAAAGTGTTGAGTTGCCCCATGCAACTTCGTCTCTTGGATGGCAGCTATTAATATTTTATGAATATGAAGACTGTTATGTCATGAACCAAAAAGACAAGATCACGCGGGCACGAGAGTAGCCCGTTAGAATCGCATTTAGGAAAAAAGTTGAACGATTTTGACATTAGCCGTTTGTTTACATTTCTTCGTTGTTTACAATTTGGTGGTGGCTTTTTACTGCAGTTTTCTTCATTTTTGCATCGACAACGTGTGTACACTTAAGATAAAGAATAATTTAACACAACGGCATGATTTATAGAAGAATTTGCATAATAAAAATGATTTTTCATGATTTTTTCGTTCAACAATTTCGCGATTTTCTCCGTTCTCTTCGTGGTTTACTTCTTACAACAAAGATGGCGTCGAGATTTCGGCAGCTAGAAAATAACTTTTTTCGTTCTCTCCTTCCCGCGTGATCTTGTGTCTTTCGTTCATGCTGTTCTCTCCGATCTGGCTCTATTGTATGCGGCGCAATTCCATTAGTCCGTCACAGCTGAATTGTAATATTTTCGTATGCATATGGAGACTTAATGGAATGTGGGGAGTGAGGTCTTTCTTTCTCATGTTATTCATGGTATTAACACTTCAGTGCATTCAGCCACGGGCTACACGCCATATTTCCTGCACACTGGTCGTGAATATGTGAAAGATGGAAACAAATATAAATTATTATTGGATGTAAATCCATACCATACACAGGATGTGGAACAGCGTAAAGTTCTGGCTGATGAAATTCGAGACAAACAGTTCGAACAATATCAACAAACCGCACAACGGGCATTGACCCGCAAAAGATAATGCCATTTCGAGATAGGCTCGGAAGTGTACATTCCCAATCCTAAACAGTCCGTGGCCGGAGAGGGCTATGCACAAAAACTAGCCCCACCAAAAATTAGAGCCTATGTTTCACGGAAACTTGGTTCGAATTCATATGAACTGATCGATGCTAAACACCGAGTGCTTGGCAATTATTCCGCCGATTTAATCACAACACGTTAACTCATTCAGTACATTCGCCTTCTCAGAATTTCAATGAATATATGGCGGGCCTCCATACTCCATTGATTCTGCCTTATTACAGGGTACCCGGCTTGAATAAATTAATTAAGTTTAGTTTTGATATATCCATAGTTTTGTTATATTATATCCTCAGTACATTGCTAGTAAATCGATCAAAGCGGCGCAATTCCATTAGTCCGTTACAGCTGAATTGTAATATTTTCGTATGCATATGGAGACTTAATGGAATGTGGGGTGTGAGGTGTGTTGCCTGCCCGCCACTTGGTGGTGGTGAGCGCCGTCGCAGTTGGCACTTGCGACTGAGCAGCGCAGCACCGGCCCTCAAAAGTTCCCCGTCGAAACACGCGGGGCGCGTCGTCCTGAACATGCCCTAAAGTGACACCTGCCAAGACAAGTGTTGCACGTGACTGATGTTACGTTACGGAATATCCTGGTGATACACTAAGCAGATTGTCCGAGGAACCAAGAGTTGTTGGCGGCGGCGAGTGGGTGTTGGTGCGGTTTTTTGTGGTGTTGTGTCGCGGTAGTGTTTATGTTGTGCTGCTCAGGCAGACTGTGGTGTGCTGTAGAGGCAGCTCGGTTTGAGCAGCAAGGGGCCACGTATGACCTGTTCCATTGCCAGTCGTAAGGCTTGAGCAAACTCGGAGGTGATTTCATCCGTTACAAGAGTTGTACCTGACGGAAGAAGAGTTGTGGTGTAGTCGTCTCAGGCACATGCAGCAGGTGTAGATTTCTGGCCCAGGACTTAGCTCGATGCCAGCCCTAGCAGAAGTTTGCGAAGCAGGGAGCTACTCTGTAATGTGATGAGAAAGAGAAATTCGATGCGATAGGCGATACATCGTAAGTAATACGCTGGTGCGTTTGCCTATAGCATATAATTTCTCTTTCGCATCGCATTACAGAGGAGCTCCCTGCTTCGCAAACTTCTGATAGGGCTGGCATCGAGTTAAATCCTGGGCCAGAAATCTACACCTGCTGCATGTGCCTGAGACGACTACACCACAACTCTTCTTCCGTCAGGGTACAACCCGAGCCATTCCGGTACGTATAACCGGCTGTCGTGGGAATGCTCAGGGTAGACAGTGACAATTTGAAAGCGGCGGTGATATACTCGACTCCCGCAGGTCCTAGCTTTCTTAGCATCTAAAAAAAACCATATCAGGCTCCAACTAAACGTCTTCGTCGCTCGCGCGAAATACCAACAACCAAACACACCCAAAATCCTGGGAGTGGAGTTTGATAGCCTCCTCCTTCTCCGCGCACGCCTCAGATACCTGCAACCAACTGCGTGCCAGGAACGAAGTCCTCAAGAGACCCTGCTCGCAACCCACAATGCATCGGCCGGGCAGTGGCAATAGTCCAAGTTCACTTCCGCGAAGAAAGCCAGGTACTGGCGCTGAAAGAACACGAACACTATATTGTCGAAGCAATTCCTCGTGGAATTACGCGTACATAAATCATCCATGCTACACAGCAAGACACAGAGCGGCGATCAACAGCCTACACTGCGATGCGATCGAAATGAGCATCCACACCCGCAAAGACAACATCGTCCTAGGCGTTGTACTTTGTACAATACCATACAACCCCTAAAATGATAGGATGACCACTGAGCAATTGAATAATGCTTTGATCTTTTTAGTTTCGAGCCCAGGTAAAAGTAAATACACAATGCGATGTAGTTTCCCGCCCTGTATTTGCTAGAGCTGTGGCCCGTTTAGTTTATTATTATCATATTATAATATATGTAGTTGTTGCTTCTTTGTTGTTGAATATTCTAGAAAAAAGTTAAAACAATATAATCTTTTTTTTTGACGTAGTAGTTCTTGCTATTGTTGTTCAATATATAGCAGATATACTTTTTATTTTTTATAAACTGAGTTTCGGAAAACTTATGTTGGTTCTTTCTGCTGATTTTATTTTTGGATGATGTTAGAAACAACGACTGGTTCTCCTGACGCTCGCAGTTTCAGCTGTTTAAATTAAATCAGCAATGTTAGCTGGCATCTCCTCAATAGTGGTATGGTAGAATTGTTCAATATCTTTAAGAATTCTTCTATCTTCGTCCGTAATGAAATTAATAGCAACACCTTTGCGCCCAAACCGTCCACCACGACCGATTCTACAAATAAATAGCAGGTATATAAAAGTTTTAAAACTCACATTAGGAGGATATGTAGTTTTTACCTATGAATGTAATTTTCTCTATTCGATGGCAAGTCATAGTTAATGACAAGCGAAACTTGCTGCACATCAATACCCCGTGCGAGCAAATCAGTGGTTATAAGAACACGAGAGGATCCCGAACGGAACTGCTTCATAATCACCTCACGATCGCGTTGCTCCATATCACCATGCATAGCAGATACAGTGAAATTGTGATTTGTCATCTCTTGAGTCAACTGATCCACCTGCCAAAACATGCGATGATTATCCTATATCTAAACGAGGTAACAGCTTTTATTTTTATTTTTATTTACCTTACGCCTTGTGTTGCAGAAAATTACAGACTGAGTGATGGAAAGTGTGTCGTACAAATCACACAAAGTACCAAGCTTCCAATTTTCCTGTTTTACATTTACGTAGAACTGCTTGATACCCTCCAACGTCAACTCTTCTTTCTTCACTAAAATGCTAACTGGATCACGCATAAAGCAACGGCTGACTTCAAGTACATCAGGCGGCATAGTGGCAGATAGCAAGATGACTTGAACGTCAGGAGGAAGCATTTTAAAAACATCTTGGATTTGGTCTTTGAAGCCACGTGACAACATCTCATCGGCCTCGTCCAAAACAAACAACTTAATGTTGTGTGTACGAAGCACTTTTCGATTAATCATGTCGTAAACACGCCCCGGTGTACCAACAACAACATGACACCCAGTTTCCAAGTTACGGGCATCCTCACGAACATTAGTACCACCAATGCAAGCATGTGAATGTACCTTCATGTATTCACCAAGTGCCATTACAACGCGTTGTATTTGAGTTGCCAACTCTCTAGTCGGAGCCAAAATCAACGCTTGACAGTCGCGAATGGATGTATCGATTTGCTGCAATATTGCAATTGAGAAAGTAGCGGTTTTTCCCGTACCTTAAAAGATAAGATATTAAGTTTTGATTATCTCTCGTAAAAAAATTTAAATTATGCATGTATCTAATTTTACTTCTTACATTAATATTTATTTTAAATTACTTAATGAAGTTTTGAGCGAAAGTAGTATTGGTGTTTATCGAGCCCTAACCTTCAAAACGATTTAAGCGAAATTTTTTTCGAAATTTTATTTGGTTGCAGAAATGTTCCTAGAGCATGTAGATGCATTTGTGCATCAAAATTAAAATTTTGAAAAAATGTCGTTTACATCTTTTCGGCGGTTGGGGCTTGATATTATAGCAATAAATACTCCCAGCTAGATTACTACCTTCTTTTAGCAATAAAAACGCATCTTCGAATAGTCTAAGATTTGAAATCGGAATCGAAAAGATAATTAAATTCGTTCGATTTCATTTGAACGCTAATTTGAGTTCGAAACAGCAAACAAATCGTATGGCAAAAGGAGTTCTTCGTACAAAATATATAAAAATTTAAATTCAAAAGAATTTTTAATTAAAAACATATATGTAAAACAGCGTATTCGACTGTCATTTCGCCTTTTTCCAGAACCGGTTTTCGAGTTATTCGAAAAATTGCAATTTGGAAAAAAACTGCAATTTAAAAAAACACCATTTGGAAATTAAGAAAAATCAGTAGGGACCAAAAAATAACTGTTATGTCGAATTTACAAATTGAAAACGTTGCCTGAATTCTGAAATTTAACGAAAACGTTGGTTCATAACAGTTAATAGAAGAGAAATATATTTTCCGTTGCTGTTTTCAACGTTTTCCCAACGTTTATTTTTTACGTTGCTCGATAACGGTTATTGCCCAATGTTTAGTTTTTACGTTGCTTGATAACAGTTATTGCCCGACGCTTATTTTTACGTTATCAGATAATAGTTATTTCACTCTCTCACTTTTATTTCATCATCTTTATCTTATTCTCCATCTCCATTTTCATAAATATCCTAATCTTACAACGTTTATCAGACAACGTAAAAAATAAACGTTGTAAAATAACTCTTATCCAGCAACGTAAAAAATAAACGTTGGGAAATACCTCTTATCGGCAACGGAAAAAATATTTCTCCTGCATAACAGTTATCAGGCAACGTAAAAAATAAACGTTGGGTTATAACTCTTATCGACGAAATACAAAATATTTCTCATCTAATAACTGTTATGGAGCAACGTTTTTGCTATAAAACTTATAACTGTTATGTCCCTGAAAACCAGGATAAACCGGTTTTACTTTACATAGCTTTCATACAGTGAAAACCGCTTATGTGGGAATGAAGTCATGACGAAAAATTACAATAAAAATAAATTAATAGTATTTAACAGTAAATTTATTTAGTAGAGAGGGAAAAACTCTCAAGTGGGCCACCGAAAATTGGATGGTCAAGATTTTTTCGCACAAATCACTTTATTCGATTTACAACCATAAAAAAATACAATTTGAGCAATTTTGTAAAATTCGAATTTTTACAAGAGTTATTGTTATTAACTTTTTTTTTATGAATTCGGTAATTATTTATTATTCACTGATTCGTAGCATGTATCTGCTGATTTTTTTCAAGATAATAGTCAATTAAACACGCTTTGGTCTGCTTGTTTCAATTTTTCAAATAATTATTTTGAATAAATTTTTTAATTTTTATAAAAAGATTGTATAAACAAATGGAAGTATTTATTACTTCTCGGTTGGATTGTTTAATCGTTTACATTGAATATCAATCCTTATTCTATAATACATTATTGAAAAGAAAAAAACACGGAAACTTACACGGGGTTGCTAGTTATTAAGGGTATTCATCAAACCTTATAAATGCATTGTAAACCGTATAAACTTATAATTGTGTAAACCTTATAAATGAACTGTCAAAATTTGTATGGAAACTCGTTTACACATTTCTGATAAATTTATCCAGCGATTTCACTGAATAAACTTGTTAAACTGAAGACAATGCAACTCTGTCGCAACTCTAGCTATGTTTTCTTAGGCAATAATCGGGATCCGCATACAAATTTTGCACGCAAATATTCTCTTCCAAGGTGTCAACCGTCTCGGGCTTATCTGCGTAGACAAGCGACTTCACATAACCCCACACACAATAGTCCAGCGGTGTTAAATCGCACGCCGTGGGGGACCGACATATAAAAAAATCCCAAAATTTTCATCTTTACACATTCATGTTTCTGGCATGCGGGGAACGATATGTACTTGCCGATTAGTTTTACAAAAATTATTTAAAAAGCAAACGTCTCGGTTGCTAAGAAAACCGGTTAATCGTTTCTGCAGTTATTTCACATTGATTCTCTAAAACAAATTTTCGATGTATTCTTAAAATGCATAAACCTAAAGGTAAATTTTATAGGAAATTAAAGTAACAATTTATTAAAACTAGTAGTAACCCCCGAAATACGGGTGAGTACTTAGCTCAAAATTTATTTAAAGAACTTCGTGAAAGACAGCAATTAATCTTGTATTGCTAGACACCTGATAATCCAGGATAATTTTTAAGTTCTTAAAACACATTACCCCACTCTAAGCTTCGTGCAGTGGGCCATGAGGAAACCGTCATTTTTAAGGTATAGTCCAACCTTTCACAATATCTGGTATTAGTCTTAATCTGAAACGCAATGATCATTGAAAATTTGCGCCGTTTGTGACGAAAAGCATTTAATATCACACTTTCAAACTAAAGCTTTCTTAACCCTAGAAGCCTAATCTATTTGGGAGCAACGTAAAGCCTTAACATACGCCTTAGAGGCTTATGTACTTAACGAGATAACCTGTGAGTTAAAATATACATAGTCCTGCTTTACTTTGTAAAGAATATTGAAGTTGTGAGTTTGACTAATAATAAATCAAAGTTTTATTAATAAAAACTATAGCCACATTTATTTAACACAACAAAATAAAGTCAATTTTGTGTTAAAATTAAAAAAAAGACCCATTCCGTATACGCCTCGCAGAAGTAGATTATACTTTTGGGGTTAACCCTTTCAGTACAAAAATTCAACCACTGGTTCTAAAAAAATTTAGATATGTATACCGGCTAATTTTGGATCGTTCATTTTAAAAATCATATACACAAATGTGTAAATGGTCAGTGATATCCTAGGTGTTCAAAAAAGGGATTTCAGCTATTTTTACCTCCCTTTTATTAGCTCGGGATGTAACTATGTAATATTGATGGACGATTCTAACGAATAATAGACATCAATATTAGGCTTATTTGTTGTGCCTTAATATTATGTTGCGGTAGACGTGTGCACAGTTTTCAGTGTCTGTTTTGAAATTCATCCTTTTATCATTAGGGGTGTTCACAATGTGGAGCATTTCTAATATAAAGCGTTTGTGGTAATTTTTCTCTTCTTCTAAGACACTCACATTATCAAAATCAGGGTAATGTCCCGTGTCTTTACAGTGGGATGACAAGGCCGTCTTGTTGTCTGAGTAAGTATTCCTTAATTTTACGTTCGATTTGTGAGCGGAAATCCTTGTCTTAAGTTTTGATTTGGTTGTCCCCACATATACTTGTTTGCATACGTGGGACCCGTCGCCATTACATGGAATACTGTATACTACATCAGATTTCTCATGCTTGGGAATTTTGTCTTTCGTGTTGCTAAATATACTTCTCAGAGTATTGTCGTATGTAAACACTAATTGGACGTTCTCTTTATCATATAGATTGGAAAATTTGATTCTCTCTGATAACCCTGGGACATAAGTTGCTGTTTTGTAAATTTTCTTATTTGAATCATCATTTTCCTATTCTTCGTTCGGACGAACATAGTTCTTGCGAATAAGCTTTTTAATTAATTTCCCCGGAAAATCATTGTCCTCCAGAGTTTTTTTAATAATACAAATATTTTTATTAT